GCAGGGAGCTCAAGAGCAGGACCTAAAAGGCAAAATGCTTCTTTTACTTGATAGATATGGCGGCCTTTCGGAAGAGAGCTTTGGTAGCCCTTTAATTGGCATAGATCAAGCGGGCCGTGAGAGGGAGAAGATGTATAATTTGTCACAGCTGTTCCTCTAGCTTTTTGTCACTTAAGAAGAAGGTAGTAGAAGAGAAGAGTCAAGAGTTACTGTATCAATTCACCCGTTTCTGGGTGAAGTAGAGCAAAAAAAATTGGTTCACCCATTTTTGGGTGAACCAGAACGGGCGGAGTATGGTCAATTTGCCAGACCCACCCGTAGGCACGGAGGGTGTGGTCTGGCTACGCGAGACTAGTCGTTACCCGAGACCGCGTAGGCGTAGTCGAGGGTAAAGCAGTCGTCCTGTCTGTGTGTTCGCTTTGACCTCCACTTTTGAGCTGACACTGCTTTCTTGTCTTGTCCTGGAGAGTCTTATAATCAACACTGACTCTAGTAAAAGTTATTCTCCGTCTTGGGAATCCTTGATTTGTCTTTTCCGTGGTAAAAGAAGCTGGCAAAGTCGCTAAACGTAGTCGGCTCTCCTGCAGCTCTTTCGTAGTGAAAGCAAAAGAGCAACAGGGCAGATAAAACAATAAAGCAAAGCCTCATCTTTCATTAATATGAGAGGAATTGCTCCAATCTTCTTCATTTTAAAGATATGATAGCCCAAACTTTCATACCTTGTGAGTTTAGACGAGGCTCTCTTCTCCCGAGGTAGCGGCCAGAGTCTTTTAACATTAAGGACTAGATAGCAGTTTGTATGCAACAAATAGAGCCTAACAAATGTATGCTAAACTGTTTAAAAGTCGAGAAAAACCAAAGCTTTCTTCGCCACATAAGGCCATGTGCCACCATTTACTGTGTGTGGGGGTGGAGCATGGCTTGATTGAGCCACACCTTGATTGCAGCCACACCTTTACATTGCTGCAGCTAGCTAGCAGCAGTGCAGCAAATATGCTGGAGCTCTTTGTCTAAAAAAACAAAAAATTCTCTGTCTGTCTCAAAACATTCACTAAGTTTTAATAAATCTAGTACATGCTGAAGCTTCTTCTTTGTGTCAAAACTTTCACCAATCATTTTCTCTTAATTTATTGAAACTGTTACATACAGATTGTGTCGAGGGTACGCACTTTAGTGCTCTCGTTCATTCATTCTGTGTGCTAGATTTTGTCTTTGAGAATGTATATCTTTATAATCGCGTGCTCTAAATCTGTGAGAGCTTCTCTTCTGTTAGGAAAAGTCTTGCTTTACTGCCTTGAGATGTTTAGAGAGCAGCTCTAGCTAGTAGAAGCTTTTTATCTCACGAGAAAATGCCCAGCAATAGCGGTAGTACTCTGGAGGTAAATGAGATTCTTTTCCAGTAGATCAAGACTAGTTATTGTTTTAATATTTGTGGGACTCTTTAAATCTTTCTTGTTGGTGAGTTATAGCTTCTTGAATTTCAATCCGAGTGAACTGTAGGTAGTCTAAAGGTCCTAAACTCTCTCAAATCACTCAGTTTACATCTAGGCAACAGTATTTGTGCCATTATAATCAGTG